GCGTAAACTTGCCTTTAAAATTCCTCACCACTATTCTTGCCTATATATATAATATTTTGGCTTTTTGAAAAGCATCAATATGTAAATTTCTGAACATTCATTGTGTTGTTTCTTTTTTTATCTGATGGAGACAATATACAAGCAATTACTATCCAATGGGGGGAAGTAATAATCAGCACAAAGAAACAAACCAAAACTGTTTTCAAGGAAAATTTACACAGGTAGTGGATCAGACCACCTTCTTTTTACCTCCGACTTTGATCGGACCTCCTTGAGTTTCCCATCTACTCCATAATCCCTCTCCATAACAAGGTTGATCCCTTCATCTGAGTACCATCCGACTCCAATGCAAAGGATGCCATCCTTGTTTACATCAACATAGGCCGTGACACCACCCGGAAGCCAAAGCATAGTCACATCTTGCATGTCTAGCATCTCTTCTTCTCCAAAGTAATCTGGATTCCCCGGCAAGCTCCTCTTCTTTAGAGTTTCTGTGCAAAGATAGACATACGGAGTACTATCGTTTTGCTCCATTACCATCTGGTCTATCTCCTCACCAAATACTGGAGTGCTACTGACATCAAACACCTTCCATGACCCAGTCAGCTCTGATGGTCGGGTTCGTTTGCGCTGAGAAAATGGTTTCAAATCGAACTCCAGATCACTGATTATGGTACAATAGGAATTAAATGAGTTCTCCAATGTCAATACAGATAACAAAATTACTGCTATAGTTTATAAGCAATGCAAACTCTAGAAAACCCTATGCTCTACAGAACTCTGGGGCATGAGCCCCAATGACAATAAGGTTGCATAAGAACAAATTTTCCTCGTGCAAACAAATGAGTTTTACAGATTATAAGTGCAAAACTATTTCTTTTATATCTGAAGTCTTTAGGACACTGAGTGCAAGAGGATACTATAGTTTTTTCCAGAGATGTACTGAAAGAAAAAAAATATATATTTATATTTCAAGTTTTATATATCTCTTTCTTACTCCCTGTGGTATGATGCTATTACCATTGCATTAAGGTTTCCAGGACATCTATGTCCTACTAGCAAAATGGAATTTCCATTAATGAATAAGTCACAAAAGAAATAAGATTTCAATTAGATTTGAAGGTAACAATATGCAAAATCTTTACGGCTGTTAGAGTGGCCCAAGCAGAAACCTTGGAAATTCTGATGCACCAGTCTTACTGAAATTACAAGAAAATAACATAAAACACATTTACGTTCTGACGAAATAGTACCAATGCATTACAAGTTACAACTTACAACATTATGTAGCAAACTCCAATGTGAAATAAACTTTAGCATAGGATACCTTGGGTCAGGAAGATTGGCAGGACTAACCCACTGTTCTTCATAAACCGCAACTCTCATTATCTGTATGCTTGAACCACCATTGCTGAATTCTATAGTATGAACGATACGTAGCCTCTTGTGGCAACCTTTAACCAAGCACTGGACAAGGAAAAATTAAGAAAATGAATAACTAGTTTTTAAGTTTCTCGTTGATTGAGATGGGTGGGGGAAGTGGTAGGTCTTATGTTACGATCTTATCATTTGTAAAAATAAAATAAAAAACAATCATCACAACATCTATAAACCCACATCAATACAATAATAAAAAAGTTTAAAATATTAATCAACATATTTTAGATTTCAAGACCTTTGTTCTGCAATTATCACATCTACTGTTCATTGGCATTTACGACTACATTTGTACATGCACTTTTATTACAGATCAAGAAAGGAATTTAACAACCTCTATCTACATGCGACTTGGAAAGTGTCCAGCATATGCCATACAAAACTTACTTGTTCAAATTTGAAAGTTGGTGAAAGGTAATACTTAGAGTCATCATCTTCACCAACCGGGATATCAACAGGACCCCTAGAATAAGATCCATCCTGCACATTATCAATCAGAAGATTAAATAGTTCCCATTGGTATTCAAGAAAAGATGGAGGATACTTTTGTCTATTGAAAACCATAAATGAAAAATTACAGGAAGCATTGATGGGAATCGAACCCATTGATAAATTTGAAAGAGAGAGACCTATAATTTCTTTTTCATGAACTGATAATCATGCCGTGGATGTTTCTAAGATAATATGAAAAGCACTGTCGTAAACTCTGGAGAAGCTATCTTTATAGTGAACAAGATTCACATTTAACAAATTCAAGGAAAAATACTATACAAGTGCCTAGTCGTACTGTATTTGTTCCAAAATACTGATGATTTATGAAATATCTAAATTGGCCAATTCAATCTGAGGCCTAGGAGAAAATTGTTTAACATCTCTAAATACTGATGGTTTATGAAATCTCTAAATTGGCCAATTCAACCTGTGGAAATGTTTTTGCAAATACTTACTAATAAAACAGCAAGTAGTAGTTACTTCCCAAAACCTAAATAATATTTCAACTTTTAGCACTCTCTCATTACCAAGAAATGATAATATTGAAATTCATGCAGCAAGAAAGTCCAAAATTTTGAAGTCTGCAAGCAAATAAATGTCAACACTTGTACTTGATACCGTAGTACTAACTTAGCATGCATTCTGAATAATATTGAAGAGGAACTGGGAGCACGCATACCTCAAAGAAAACAAGACCAGGTTCCTTACCCATGACATCTTCTTCCATCACGTCACTTCTTCCAAAATCAAAAGACTCAAATTCAGGCAAAACATGTTTTTTTCCGCTTCCATCAATATCGTTTTTGCATGAAGCAGCGTCTCCACCTTCGTGCTCTTCTTTTGTTCTATCGCTTCCTCTAATATGTTGTGGTATTTCACCGTAAGGATTTAAAGTCACCCAATTAATCTTCCTTTTGATTTGAGATGTTGGTCCTCCAGAATAGGATGGCACGGCCTCAATGTGGGAAAGGGTATAGCAATCATATAGATGTTCATCCCTGCTTCCGATTTCAATTGGCTCCATTTCAGCATTGATGGGTGAAAATACTGCTCCAACGCCCTTCCATATCCCACTGACACTACTAGCAAATGTAGTCCATGCTGGTCTTATCACAGGTTCCTGACAGGAAAAACCAGTGTTGAGTTATTAACTCTAAGACACCAAAAGTGCAGCCTAAAATTTCTGTATACAAACCGCAAACATGAATGCATACTTGTAACAGATTTTCTTCTTCCTGTCCTCTTCTTTTTCTGTTTGTTTTATTTTCGCCCGTTGGGCAGGGGGTGGGGTAGCTTTCTCTGAATGCCCCATAACTTTGCAAAGAAATCAAATTTCCATAATTTTTTTTAACGGAAACAGTTCACTAATGTTCTGATTGATGGCAATAAGTTGTGCAAAGTTTCCCAGATGTCCAGGAAAAGCTTCTAAGATAATACTTAGAGAAGAACTGAACAAACATGAGATCAAAGAACACTCTCTGAACAGAGGAGTCCAATCTATTATCTGCAACTTTAAGTGAACATATAAATTCATGAACCAAATGCTCCACAAACATAGAAGCACCTGAGCATTAAAATATTTTCTACCAAGTGGCTAATTCCCATCTCTCAATACTCATTACCAAGTAGCCAATTTCCAACTCTCAATACTCATTTCCTCTCCTTTTTTTCCCAACATTCTATCAGCAACCAAAAAAAAAAATGCAAACCCATTACCCCAACATAGCCCAAACAGAATAAAAAATTTCAAAGTACCTGAGTTTGAAGAACGGTCTCGACCTCCATTAACATAGCACCAGAGACCAACACACCTTTCCCGCCACCGCCTTCACTTCTCTTCCTCCTCACAACCCTCCTTTTGCCTCTCCTCTTCGGGTTTCTCCCTCTCTCTTTCTCCATCGCAGCGAGCTCGTTGTCCACGCTCCACACATTGTCCGCTTTGCCCTTGACCTTGGCTCTACCACCGTTGTTGTTGGGTGCTGGTTTCTTCTGGCACTGAGCGACGAGCTTCCTAGGGTATTTTGGGAAAGTGGAGGAGGGGAAGGAGAGAAAGGTGAAGGGGTTTTGGGCAGCCGAGGAGGAGAGTGTGTGGTTGAACCCCAAGTGGTGGAGGTGGTGACTGGTGGCGGCTAACCGGAGCGACGGTGAGGGCATTTTGGGGATTTTGCTTTTGTTTTAGAGAGAAAAGGAGCAATGGTCAGTGAGTGAAGGGATAGAGGGATAAATTTGAGGCCTTTGGATTTGGGCTGGAAATGGTTGTGCCTAATCCAGTGCTTGCGTTCAAATATTGCGTTTCGATCCAAGAAAAGAAGACCTGTATTATTGATGATGAGGCCCATAAGGATACTGGATCAATGATAAGAAATTTGAACAAAGAATTCAAAACTTCGGAGGACCAACCAAGACGACTATAAGATGGGAACAAATTGCAATGTAGCTTAAGTAGTTAAGAGTAATTAGTCCTGCATCCGAGATTCTGTGTTCGAATTCCTCCACGAACTCTATTTTTAGAGTCAATGCATTATCGATATTATTAGAAAACTCTCTTTCATCCCTAATTAAATTAAAACTATAATTAAAGATATATAGAAAATGGAAGGAGAAAGAAGATGCTGATGTTGGGTAGCTAAAAGATAGAGAAACAAACTGATGTCGCATAGCCAAAAGCGAAGGAGAGAGAAGACATAAGACCACTTGAATGGGCAGAGAAGATATGATGTAGGGTTTACTTTTAATTTTTTTAATTTTGGACTGGGCTTATAACGTATGTAGGTAATTTTTATTTATTTAAATTTTGCGCTACGCGGACACCCAACTTACCCTGTGCACAGAACTGACCCTGATTGTGTGTGTAAGAAACAGCCTCTCTGTAGTTTAGACTATCGCTTGTACTCAACAAAATCCTAAAAATGCTAAATTCTTATTGTTTTAAAATAATTTCTTTTTTTGAAAATAACTTACTCAAATGTTACTGAAGTGGTCCTAAAATGGGTGCGAAAATATGGTTCGTGGAAATATCAACACTAGTTTGACTGGTAAGTAGCAACACTCATACAGTTCAAGTTCTTGATTGGCTGCAAAAATAGTATTTAGGGATAGATTGACGGCGTCCTCGTAGTTCGTGCGTTTGCCCCCTTAATATTTGTTGAAATTCTGTTTGGGTGTTGTTCCAGAAGGAAACCTCACACAGGTAGTCGCAGCCAGCCCCCCAAGAGAAAGAAGAGCTAGCCAAGGACTTCGATTGCAATTTGAAGAACATCAAGGACTCGATAGCTAAGGCTAATTGAAATGGATGGCTTGTGATTAGGGTTGGTCCTGCCTCCCTCCTGAGCTTAGAATTATACAGTGAAAGCTCCTGAACTCAAGTGTAAGTTCTTTGCCACTTTATATATTTTGTAAACTGTATTTTCAGTATGTAATTCCCCTGTTTAATCATCCTTTAGAGTTTACTTTTGGGGGAAATAAAGTGGTAAAATTCAAAAAATAATTATAAGTAAATTGGATCTTAGATCTTAGTTAATTACATTCCGCAGGAGTAGTAGCTAAATTGAATCTGAATAATTCATGCAATTGATGTTAAAATAATAGGAAATGCATCTCTTCGGTCTTTTTTGTGAATATATGTTTTTGCTAAAGCCTTGAGGCTTGATTGTAGAAAAAAAAAATCTTGTTTGTAATCAAAACTTTAACTCTGTTGACAGAAATGTTCACTAATTGAGTTCCATTTCTTGGGATTTTTTTGTTGAAGCATGGCTACAAATTCCGAAGAAATCTTGCCCCTTGAGAGAATCAGAGGAACCATCATTCCCTCTCTCCTTGACCATCTCTCCAAGGCCAAACTCTCCCTCTCTAACAGCCAAAGGGATTATGAGATCAACATGGCCACCCAAATCGAAAAGTTCTGGAAAGACCTCATTTACATCAGGCAGGCATTCACCGGGCTCAAGAATTTAGAAGAAAGCGCTAGCGCTCTTTTCAAGATTCTCCTACAACCACAGCACAGCCTCCACCAACTCTTGGATCAGCCCACTCAATTCCACATCCATGACTCACGAGTGAAGCAATTTCAATCCAAGCTTCGGGTCCTGAGTGAGATAATCATCAAACTAAAACTCCTAATTCCGTCCCCGCACAAAATGGTGTTGAACAAGGCTAATCCTTTGTCATTGACTGGTGTTGTGTTCGATCCCAACAAAGTACTTGATCAATTGTCTGACTTACATTTCAGTAAGGTTTTTGGAGATAGCCCCACTTTTAAAGATTTTCGGGTTGTATATAACAGTCTTCATGTTACTACAAAGCTCTGCTTGTTGTGTTTCGCCGTGTTTCCAGAAAATGAGGTTATAAAGAAGAGGCTTTTGGTACATTGGTGGATTGGAGAAGGGTTCCTGAACCCTCCTGTTGATAGCAAAGAGACGATCGTGGAAACTGCATATGGTGTATTTGAAGAGTTAACAAAGAAGGGCTGCATTGAACCTGTTTACAAGAAACGGAGATCAGTTGTGCATAGTTTTAAAATGCACCCTCTTATTCGTTCCGCAGTGATTGTGATTGCCAAAGAAGTGAGATTCTTTGATTTTGATAGTAAAGGAAATCCCACTGCCAACTTTTCATGGTCTCACCGGGCTTGCTTGATGAATGGGTCTTCTCATCTGACATTGGCAAACAGACCCGATTTGGATCCAGAGAAGCTGCAGACTATATTCAATGTGAATGAGGCTTATCCAGATTTTTCCAAAGTTGACTGGTCTAGGTTAAGGAATGTGAAGGTTCTTTATCTTGGAAGGTGGCACAGCAGAGCTAATCATCACATTGAAGTAGATGACATTGAATTCTTTAAAGGGATGAGGTATATGAGACATTTGATTTTCTTCAGCCTACGAGGGATATCTAGGATTATGGAGCTTCCTGATTCACTATGCAAGCTTTCTAGTCTCAGGATCTTGGATCTTAGTGCATGCCACAATTTAGAAACACTTCCAGAGAAAATAGGCTCGCTTAAGATGCTCACTCATTTGGATATGTCTGAGTGTTACTTGCTGGAGCACATGCCTAAGGGGATTGCCTTGCTCTCAGAACTCCAAGTTCTTAAAGGATTCATAATCTGTGATCATAAGAATGATAGTTCATGTACTCTTCATGATTTGTCAGCTTTGAAGAAGTTGAGGAAATTGACAATCAACACCAGCAGGAAGGATTTTCCCAGAGAAGAAGAGCTAATTGGTTTCCAACAGTTTGGATCGCTTCGAAAGCTAACAATAGCATGGGGAGGGTTATACCTCCCCCCAGCCATCCAGCCAGCAACATAAAACACTTTGAAGAGTAGGGGAGGTAACCAAACACAAGACAATGCTGCACCAGGGCCAGCAACACCAACTGGCATAAGAAACCATATCCGTAAAATCCCTTCAAGATTACCAACCTTCAAGCGAATGACTAGAACTACTACCATGAATCAGGAACATTTTAAGGAACTAGAGAAGCTGGATCTGCAGTGCTACCCTCAGATGACAGCACCCAGTTGGTTGATGCCTGGAAAGCTTAAGAGTCTGAAGAAACTCTACGTTAGAGGAGGACAGCTCCAAAGTCTAGGTCAAGTTCACGAGAATGACAAGTGGACAATTAGGATATTACGTCTGAAGTTCTTGAGTGAATTAAAGATGGATTGGAATGAACTCCAGGTGTCATTTCCAGACTTGATATATTTGGAGAAATTTAGATGCCCTAAGCTCACTTTCTTCCCATGCGATGCGAGTGGCCTATGGCTGAAGCCCCTGAACTTGAACAATGGAATCAGCACAGGTGGAACTCTTGGTATGTACATCCAAGCAGTTAAATTCAAGTGTTTACTCGATTGAAGTACGTTGTCCATTTTTGGCTAATGTTGTGAGCCTTTTTTTGCTTCTTTACTCAGAAAATTTAATTATGTTTCAAGTCTGCAATGCGAGAGAAGTTTGCTTAGTTCAATGAAGACACTAAGAAAATACTTTTCTCATGCCTTTAGGTTCAGTGAAATTTATTCTTACTCAAAAGTTGAATGTCAATTTTATTCAAGCTATTGAGAAAATGCTTTTGTTGAATATTATCAGGGGAATTTATAAATTATAGAAAATCTGATACTTTGGACCTGGAAGTTTACTCCAACTTTAAGAGAACATGGGTACAAAGGGTTCTATTTTAACCATTGGAGAGGGCTGGGCTTACGTGGTATTAAAACTATGCGACTTTAGGAAGACTGCAGGGTTTACACTTGAAGAGTCACTCTCAAGTCCTAGGGTTTTCATCTAAAAAATTTTCTGGGTTCAGAACTTTTGTTCATATTGGTTATCTAATAATTTTTTCCAGTTGCTGTTGTGTGTTTACATATCCCACATTTTCTTGTTCTGTGTGCAGTTATACATCAAGGCCATGTTTGGTGGGCCGGCTACTGGATTGGACTTCATAATTTGGACTGGACCAGACTTTAAGTATGTTGTTTGGTGCTATACTTACTTTGTACTGGACGGAAAACATAATAATTTTATTATTAGATTTTTTAAAGTATCTTTTCTTTATGAGATTAAAAACTATTTATTTTTCCCATAATGAACAAAATTATAGTCTGGCAAAACATAAGTACAAAAATATAAATTGAAACAAAAGTAAAAAATCGATAGTATGAAGCTATGAAATTTGAAAGATTCACCACAAGAACATATGAACATTTTGAAAAAATAATAAAAATTAACGCACAAACGAAAACTGGGTTCCAGATCTGACGAAAAATTAAAGCAATTTGAAAGATGTTAATGGGTTCCACATCTGAAATTTTTCAAAGCAATCAAAAACAAGATTGAAGGGAATACACGAAAACCAAGATAAAAAAAACTCAGGACCATACAATTGGTCGAAAATTGCTTTAGCAAAAGAAGTGAAGCATATCAAGAAATGGGCAGAAGAACAAAGCAGAAAAGCGAGTAGAAGAACAAAAGAACAGAGCCAGCAGAAAATGGGCTTCAATTTAAAGCGTAAAAAACCGTAGCTTTCGACATCTGAATTTCAGAGAAAAATAAAATAAAATATCAAGTCCAGTCCTCCGTGTCTATTTTAATTGATTATATCCAGTCCAGTCCGGCCCACCAGACAAGGCCTAAGGCTCCTTTCTTTGTGTTTTCTATAGATTTTGTGCTGGTCATCGGGGCTTGGATTTGAAGATCCAAATTTGAGCACCTCTGGTGATGCAACAGTGGTAAAATTTAGTGTTCTGAATGATGCCTTGATTGGGCCACCATGTTCCCCAAATTGTTAGGTTTGTTTTTACTATATGTTTCATTATTTTCTATTAGGCTTAATATCACAAAAAGATTTAATACATCTAGCAATTTCATTTATAAGATAAAATTGTGCATGAACCAATTTGCTGCTTTCAATGTGTGATCTTGGTTATGCTGATCAGAAAATTATATTCATGAGGATTATTTACAAAGCAAAAGTGAAAACTGATATAGCTGAAGCCTTTTGACTGCTTCTCAAACAAGAAACCAACAAGGTCATAATACTCTGCTGCTATATCATATGGATGCCAACTTGATTAAAATTTGAACAGGTTAAGTGTTTAACCCTCTTTCTTAGATAGCAAAGGGACAAGTAGTAACGCGCACGAATTTATCTGCATCTAGATTTATCTCTTTCGTTTCGTTGGAAACTACGTTCTACGGTGGTTTCCAGGTCGTCTTCCGATCTCCTTGGTTCTGAAGAGTTTCTAAATCTCTCTCCACCATGGAAGAGGGGTCTCCAGGTGTTTTCTTAAAGGATTATCGATTAACAAAGCGGAGTCGCGCTGAGCTGGGTTGTCAAGATGCGTTCATCTCTGATGCAATTCCGGCTCCGATGGTGGCTCATGATTTGAATTTAGGTCAGAATCTTAACCCTGTGATGGATACCATGGGAATTGCAAGTCTGCAATATGAGATTGATGGTGCGAGTTTTAGGGATATACTCATGAATAAGGTAAATTTGGTGAAAAATATTGGCATTGATGTTAATAGTCTGGATACTGATTATGATGAGTTGAACGATGATGAGGATGTAGTGATTTCTAAAGGGGATAAGGGACCCAGCATTCAGTTTTCTGAGAAGCCTATGTCTCGGCTCTGTCAACCTTGGAAAAATGCCTTGATAGTTAAGCTCCTGGGTCGTTCTCATACTTACAAATACCTCCATGATAGGTTACAACAGAAATGGAGCTTGAAAGGAGGCTGGAAACTTGTGGATTTGGTGAATGACTATTTTGTTGTTAAGTTTGATCTTGAGGAAGATCTGGAGTTTGTTCTAACTGGAGGGCCTTGGATAATTGCAGGACAATATTTCGTGTTGCAGAAATGGAGGCTTGCGTTTTGTCCTGCCACTGCTCATATTACTCGAATGGCTGCGTGGATTTGTGTTTCGGCAATCCAGTTGGAATGCTTTGATGTGTGGGCGTTGAAGCAAATTGGCAACTTGTTGGGTAAGTTGTTAAAGATTGATGCTCTAACTACGTCTCAGAATAGGGGTAAGTTTGCAAGACTGTGTGTTGAACTGGATCTTACAGCCTCTTGAAGCTTTTGTCCAGATTAATCAAGAATGGTATAATATTGAGTACGAGGGCCTACCTGATATTTGTTATTTGTGTGGGCGGTATGGTCACAAGAGAGAGCATTGTGAGAAGAGGAATTATGTTCCTGTTGCTGTGCCTGGGGAGGGACAAAGTTCAGTTGCTAAGGATGTTTTGGAAGGTGGTGTTGTTATGAATAGTGAAGATCGTTTGGAAAACTTACGAGGCCCTTGGATGAATGTTCCAGCAAGGAGACGGCCTAAAGCAATGCATAAGGATCAGGGAGGTAGAAATAATGGGGTTAGAGCTAAGGGCTCAAGATTTGATGGCCTGCATGGTGTAAGTGAAAATTTTGGCCAAAAAGAGTTGGTTGTTAATGGCGTTGCTGGGCAAAGTTTTTATGGGAAAGGTGAACCATCTACAAGAGATGAAGACTTGGATAAGAAAGTGTGGACCAAATCGAAGGCTGTTAAGTCAGATGTTCTAAACCCCTTGAATGATATCTCTAATATGCCTCAACAGGATAAAAAGCATTTGACGGCTACTGCCTGAAAGGAAGGAGGGTCTAAGAGCACGGGTTTTGGGGCTTTAATTGCTAGAGGCAAGATGGTAATTGGTGGGAAAAGGGTAGAGAGCTCACAGTCTTTGCCGAATAAGGTTGCTAATTGGGTCAGTTCCAAGGATGTGCAAAGTGGGAAGGGCATTTATATATTTGGGCATTAACCACCAAATATAGTTAATAATGAGAGTGTCCAGGAGGATGGAGGTGGGATTAATAGTGATGTAGATTCTATTGGTTCTTCTGATCATGAGAGTGTGCCAGAGGAGGAGGGTGTTCCTTTGCCTGCAGAAATGGATACTTCTGAAGGTCAAGTGAGATCTCCTAATGGGAAGTTGCTGGATAATACCTTCACTAACACTGAAGGTATGAATTTTGGTTTTTAAGGGTTTAGCCCTTAGGTTTCTGCTTGTTGTTGTTAGGTTTATGGATATTGTTTGCTAGAATGTGAGAGGTGCTGCTTGAACCAAATTTTGAGCTAATATGATGGAGTTGATCTACACTCATTGTATGGATATTTTGTTTTTGTGTGAGCCTAGGATTAGTGGCCAAAAAGCTATGGATATGGTGAAATCTTTGGGGTTCTCTTTCTTTGAAATTGTGGATCCTGTGGGATTTTCAGGTGGCTTAAGGTTGCTTTGGCATGGTGATAGAGTTAAAGTTGAGGTGCTTGGCACTATGGATCAGGCCATTACAGCTTGTGTTTCATGGCCTGGTCAAGTTCCTTGGTTGTTGACTACTGTTTATGCTAAGCTTTGTAGTTGCAAGAGGGAGAAACTGTGGAATTATTTGAACTTTGTTGCTAGTTGTCAAAAAATGCCTTGGTTGCTTGCTGGGGATTTCAATGAGATGTTGCAAGTTGAGGATAAGCTTGGAGGTGGTTAGTCTTGGAGATTCAAGGGATTTAGGAGATGGTTTTTTAGTAATGAGATGGTGAATTTGGGGTTTTCTGGCCCTAAATTCACTTAGACCAATGGGAGAGTGTTTGAAAGATTGGATCAGGTGGTTTGTAATTTGGAGTGGAGATCTTGCTTTGCTGAGGCTCATGTTAAGCATTTGCCTCGAACCAAATCTGATCATTGCCTTATAAAGATTTGTCCACAATCTGGCTTTCATCCTAATCCCCAATGCAGGCCTTTTAGATTTGAAATGATGTGGCTAAAGCACCAGGGGTTTAAGGACTTTCTTGGCGAGAGGTGGGAACATTTGACAATATTTGAATTGCTCAAGAGATGATGTATAAGTTTAGGGTTTCTAAAGGTAAGAAAGGTTTCATTGCGTGGAAGATCAACCTTTCTAAAGCTTATGATCGTTTAAACTGGAAGTTTATTGAGTATGTTCGAGAGGAAATAGGGTTGCCTGCCCAATGTAGCAAGTTGATTATGGTGTCACATCCCAGGATTGGTTTCGTCATAGCACGATATTGTCCACTTTGGGCCCCCCTCTCTGCCCTCACGGTTTTTTTTTTGAGAGCTCACGAGCAACTTCCAGTGGGTCACCCATCCTGGGATTTCTCGAGCCCCCAACTCGCTTAACTTCGGAGTTCCCATGATTCCGAAGCCAGTGAGCTCCTAAAAGGCCTCGTGCTAGATGGATGCGGGTGTGTACATATAAGACTCATCACTCTCTCTCCGTTGGTCGATGTGGGATCTTACAATCCACCCCCTTTAGGGGCCCGACGTCCTCGTCGGCACACTCGCACCACACGGCAGAGTGGCTCTGATACCAAATTGTCACATCCCGAGATCAGCTCCGCCGTAGCACGATATTGTCTGCTTTGGGCCCCTCGCTCTGCCCTCAAGGTTTTGTTTTTGGGAGCTCACGAGCAACTTCCCAGTGGGTCACCCATCCTGGGATTGCTCTAGCCCCCAACTCGCTTAACTTCGGAGTTCCCATGACTCCAAAGCCAGTTAGCTCCCAAAAGGCCTCGTGCTAGATGGATGCGGGTGTGTATATATAAGGCACATCACCCCCTCTCTGTTGGTCGATGTGGGATCTTACATATGGCTTGTGTTAATTCCGTGAGATACCAAGTTTATGTTAATGGGGAGCTTACTAAAGATTTTATGCCTAGTAATGGTATTGGGCAAGGAGATCCTCTCTCCCCTTATTTGTTTGTGTTGTGCATTGAGAAATTATCGCATATCATCTTTGATTATGTGAATAGAAAGTGTTGGAAGCTTGTGAAGACATCTCAATCAGGGCCTGCAGTCTCTCATTTATTTTTTGCTGATGATTTGGTGTTGTTTGCTGAAGCTAGTATTAAACAAGCTCAAGTTATGAAGGGCTGTCTTGATTTGTTCTGTCAAGCTTTTGGTCAATCGGTTAATTTTGATAAATCGACTATCTTTTGCTCTCCCAACATTAGTATGGAGTAGGCCTCATCATTTGG